GGGTTATTACTGTGATGTTGCCTGATCATGTGACTTAAGAACCTTCAAAATTCAGAAATGTTTTGAGAGATTGGCCAAAGAGACAGCCCTTGGTGTGCTGTCAACTATATTGGAAACTGAGTGGCTCCTAGAAAGTCAGAGTGCTGATGGAAATGCTGCCAGTAAACATGAAGCTCAGGGGGCTTCAATTGAGAACTGCATTGGGGGCTGAACCCAAGCAGCATATTGTGCTTTGGCAAAAATTTGGTCTGCACTTCATTTGCATTTGGCGATGTTGCCTGGGTGGATTAAAACGTCGATGCAGTCTACTATTGGGAGGGTGGCATTGTTACTGTTGAGAGTTTTGGGCCAGATCTGTTTGAAATTAAGAGCCAGTAAGGTAATATGGAACACTTGGCCAGAAGGGTGTCTCTAATAGACCTTTGATTACAAGGATGAAATATAGAACATTATTAAGAAAAGGACTATGTAAAAATGAACTGAAGCTTTTCACCTAAAGATGAGTGAGTGTATTCAAATTGCAGGAGACCCATTTAGTTTTATCATACGCTGTAAACTGTTAATGGAAAATAGGGACTGCCTTTAATAATTCACCTAATGTCCTTTTTTTTTTTTTTTTTTTTTTTTTGTGGAACCGGGGATTGAACTCAGGCCCTTGTGCTTGCCAGGGAAGCACTTATTCTACTGAGCCATCTCCCCAGCCCCTCACCTAATGTTCTTAATGTCATCTTTATGTTTGTATTCAGGTTAATCAAAGTATTGTGACTTAACCTTAAATTTTGATCTAAACAGTTTGCTTCTGCTGCAGAAATGAAACAAATTACGTATATGTAACATTAGCATAAATCTAAATAATCAAGACCTTCTATGTTCACAAATCTGCTACTAAAGACTAGTTTAAAAGATGTGTATGGTTATCAAGTTGAGCAGAGGTGGACTGTAGTGGACAGGTGACTGGTAGTCAACTTCTTACATCCAGCTGAATTGAACTAGTGTAGTGTTGGGTGAGGAAGACCCAGCTGAGGAGTATTGCCAGCAGCATAAAAGGCAGAAAAACAGAAGCTGTCAGAATGCGGCTAGGGAAGCCAGAGAAGCTGTTAATTCTCTTGAGCTGTTCTGCTGTAGGACCTTGTCATGCTACCTTTCCCGATGAATTTCGGAGCTTTGGTCATCATCTTGAGCATTACTTCCTGGCTCCAGAGAAGATGATGCACTGTTCAGCCTTGTGGAAAAACTTGTTGCATTGGCTTTCCTGATGGGACTCAGCTTTCCTTATCGCTGGAGGAACTCGGGACCTCACTGTTGCTGAGGATAGCTGTGGTACTTTTGGGGGAGGTCTAGTGCTACTTACCTTGAGCATATTGCTTCCCGACTCCAGTTCAGATAGATCTCTGAGCTTGCTAGCACAGACCCTTCATCCTGCTGGCATGGACTTTCTAGCTTCTACCACTGACTTTTGGCCTTTCCAGTACAATCCGCGAAGCAGGCCTGTATGAAACTTCGTTGTGGACTCCAGGCCTCTAGTTGGATTTGTGGGAGGCATTGCTATGAGCTCTAGGTTTTCAGCTGGACTCATGCAAATTATCTGGATCCAGGCCCTCAGCTGGATTCTTCAGTATTTAGTGTGTGGAAGGGTCTACAGGGTGTTCAGGGTCTCACTACTACACTGAACTTGTAGTGATCCACCTGTTCACAGCCTCGCAAGAGCTGGGATTACAGATGCTCACCATGCCCAGTATCAATGTGCCCCAGGGGTGGGGCCGGCATGGCAGGCCCCGGGATCAAACCCCCGGCCCCTGCACCTCCTTGCAGGTGCTTTAATCCACTATTTGGCCAGCCCTTATATACTGGTGTCATAAAATAAAATGTGTCCTGTTTTATATTTGTTCTCCTTGCAAAACCCCAAACAATGACACAAGTGAAGGTTTGAAAGATATTGCTAGAGTAACTTTATAGGCATAAGCCTGCAATTCCAGCACTTGAGAAGTTGAGGCAGGAGGATTGCCATGAGTCTGGACCAGTTGCCCTACATAGTGAGATCAAGGTCATTCTGAGATCCTATCTCAAAAAAAGAATTTTTAAGTAATAGGTAGCAATTCCCTCTTGTCCTCTTGTAATGTTAACATTAAGTTATTCCATTTGCATCATTTAGCCTTCTTGGACCTGCATGGTTATTGCCATGTAGGTGTGGTAGCAACGCCTATAATCCTAGCACCTGGAAACCTGAGCCAGGAGGATTGCTGCAAGTTCAAAGCCAGCATGGGCTACAAAATGAGTTCAAGGTCAACCCAAACTGCATAGTGAAACCCTGTTTCAAAACAGACAAAATCTATAGTATTTGTTTTGGAAAACTTTAGAGGATATGGGTCTGTAAGTTGATACATCTAGAATCAAGGTAGTGAGCCTATGGCGTGTGTGCTGCAGTTGGCTGTTATCACAGAAAGCTGTAAAAATTTCACATTACTGTTATACGTCTGTTTCTTCCTTTACTCCTTCGCTTGCTCATTCATTCAGCACTGGGTGCAGAACCCAGGGCTTTTCCAATGAGGTGCATCCCCAACCTGTTTTAAATTTTCAGAAAGGGTCTAAGTTGTTAAGTTGCTTAGGCTGGGCTCAAACTTGCCATCTTCCTACCCAGCTCCCCGGGAGCTGGCATACAGGTGTGCACCTCCACTTCTGCTACACTTTTTTTTTTTTTTGGCAGAACCGGGGATTGAACTCAGGCCCTTAAGCTTGCCAGGGAAGTGCTTATTCCCCTGAGCCATCTCCCTGGCCCTCTGCTACACTTTTGATTCTACAATGATTCATAAAACTCAGGTCAAGAAAGTAGTTAATTTCATGACTTGTCTTCTTTCTCTTCTGCATCTTAACCCTAGCAATTAATCTCATTTATTTGAAAAGCAGTGATGTAGGTCTTTACTACTTGTTTAGCTTTATACATCCATGTTATACACCTCACCAAAAATTTAAATGAGTGGGCATTTTCTTTAATATAGGATTTTATAGTTATTTTATAAATATAGATCTTTATAATTCAGAAAGACAAAAACTCAAACAGTGAAACTGAAAAACTGTCAGGCAGCCTTAAAAGCATTCAAATAATACTAACATTTTGGAACCCTGTCATTAATGTTAAATTTCTATCTTAGTCTACAGAGAACCAGGTATAGCCCTTGAGCCACTCCACAGCATGCTAAGTATTACTTACCCAGGATTAGCCTCAATGATAGTGATTACACTGAACTTCAACAGCTTGAAACACTTCATACTTTCCTTGAAGTATACTTAAGGAATTTATTCAGCTAATTCTTAAGTAAAGAAATTTAAGTTAGTCAATATCCTAACTCTTGAAAGCTCTGTTTGAATGCAATTTTCATAGTCTTTACATTTTAACTGTCATTGTTTATTACTGTTTTGGCTACATTCTCTACAATTTCAGCAGCATCTTAGAGACAATGTGTCTATGTACAATGAAAAAACAAAATGGCTTTCAACATCAGAAATAAGAACCACAGTTTAACTGTACAATATTAAGGGGATTCTGTGGTAGGTATAGCTTGTTTTCTGCAACATGGACAACTTACATGCTAGTATTAGCATTATGAATGTGACAGATAATAAAGAAAAAATCCTTAGAGGAGTAAAACACAGCATCCTGAAAAATATTGGTTTCTACCATACAAGGCAGTTAGGAAGTATTCACATTTTAATAAATCTGTACAAACCACAAGAAACTTGTTTATGGGACCGTCATCCCACCTTGATGATAAGAACCTTTCTAGAAATGTAGAATAATCATGAACAACATATAAATCTAGTATCTATGTGCTCCACAGCCCTAGAACCCAGGAAACTGATTTAAAGAACTCAACATGGCCAACATGGATCATTTTTACATGCCTTGTTAATGAATGCCCAATATCTCCTTTAATATTTCTCTATGATGTACAGTCAACTTGCACCTTTAAGGTCATTTAATTTTTTAGCAAAAGAAGCAATGTCATTTAGCAGCAATTAAAGCGCCTTCAAGAAGACTTAAAAAAAATACAATATCCAATTAGAAAAGCCATATTTTAAAACATTTGTACAAGAATAAGCTGCTGAAACTTAGTAATTGAAACAGGGCATCTGTACAACAATTTACAATAGAGCTAGAAGGGAATCTGTCACTGTCCTGCACAGAGCTGGCCTGCACTTGGTTACACACTCTCTCTCGTTGAATGCGCAAGGCCTGGTACCAAAAGAAAAATACCTGCTCCTGACTTTGACATGTTGGAAGCCCTGGAGAAATCCCAGGTTAGTGAATTCAACTGATTTCAAAACAAACAGCTCTTTCTGTCAAAGGTATAAAATATCTAGGAATAAAAGCTCTCCCTTTAGTATAACCAGGGGGAAAAAATGGACATGTGATTTCGAGGTACAACTTGGTAAAAGCCAGAATAGGCAAATGACAAAGTTTACCTTTGTCCAGAGATTCTAACTCTCACATTCTATTATAAAATACAACGGCCACTGTCATTCAGTTCTTACTTTGGTTTCAGCAGATTAACTGCTGAATGCTGAAGAATGTATCCAGGCACTGTAGTTCTTGTGTTAGAAATATGTCTCATATTTTTTTCCATGTGTTTTTAAATAATGAAAAACTACCCTTCATATTAGAACTCTCTAGTAACAATCAAATATATTTAAGTATTATAAACGTTATTTACAGTGTTCCCCCAAATAAACAATCAATCCCATTTTTCTTCTATCTCAACATGGTATTTCTATCTCTGTGCAACAGGCAGCCATCCTTCACTGCTCAAGGTGAACGTGAGAAGTGTACACTTATTCACTGTCCATGATCCACTCTCATACAAATAACAATATGAAGAAATTCAGTTCACAAACAGTCCTTAACCATGTCCTGTGTAAAAAACAAAACAACACTCAAATGCTCTCAAAACTCAAGTGTGCATCTGGAAGCAATTCAAAGATATCATGCCAATCCTGGAGGAAAGTCAGTAAGTGATTATGCTTGAAGAAGGGGGTGTGGGAGAAGCTGTCAGCCCAGCCATGTGTAAGTTTCCTGAAGAATTTGATCTTCTCATGTGTGGGAGAAGGTATGGATCGTTTGCCAGCTGGTGCACGTCAAAGCGATCTTCTTTTCGGTATGCCAAACAGCGTCTTATAAAGGCCTTTTATAAAAAAGAAAAAAAAGTCAGCAATTAAAATGATCTTTTTTCCTTCTAAAATCAATCCATAGAATCCTATTTAAGACTATAAACAGACCTCAGTTTTATTTATTTTTGGATGGGGGATTGGACTCAGGACCTTAAGCTTGCCAGGAAGACACTTATGCCATTGAGCTATCTCCCTGGTCCCAGACCTCATTTTATTGAAATTGATACCTTAAAAATTTGTAGCAATAAAATTCTCTCAATTCAACTCTGTACTCGGGGCCCCTAGTGCTATATTACAGTCTCAATTATTACTGCTTTCCTTGGAACTGATTGTTAGAAAGCTGCATCACTGCTTACAAAATTCCTAAGGCTCCCTTTTTCTAGCATTTTTCTTTTGCTAAACAATACTCTCACACTCATCTCACTATTGTCAATAGTTCAGTTCGGCCAATGGTAAGATGTCATTTTTAGCCATAATATTCTCACTACTGAAGGTACAATACAGTCTTCTTCAGGCAAAGATAATACCTGCTACTTTCATTTCACAGTTTTTAATTTCCTAGACTAACTCTAAAATTACCACAATAATTTTTAAAACTCTAAATAATGGATTACATATTTGCTTTCTATTCTTCCAATATAGTATATAAAATATCTTTTTTAAAAAAATTTATTTATTTATTTATTTATTTGTGTGTGTGTGTGTGTGTGTGTGTGGCCAGCTCAGCCCACCAGGGGGCAGGGCTGGATGGCATGTGGTGCTGGGGGATTGAACCAAGGTCCTTGTGCTTTGTTAAGCTTGTTCTAAGTAGGTGCTTTAGACCACTGAGCCATCTCACCAGCCCCTAAAATGTCTTTATTAAAATATATTTTTAGAAATGCACACAAACTGTAAAAGTACAACACAAAGTGAATATATGCAACTAGCAAACAATCAAGAAAACGAACAGGGCCGCCCAGATAGCTCAGTGGACTAAAGTGCCTGCTGTGGCAGAAAGCACTGGTGGGGTCCTATCCCCAGTATGCCATGCTGGCCCTGCTCCCAAGGTGCACTGAGACAGTGATTGAGATTGGGCGTGGTGGGGCACACCTGTAATCCCAGCGCTTGGGAGGCTGAAAACAGGAGAATCACTAAGAGTCCAATCTACGTAGTGAAACCCTGTATACCCTATAGACCCTGTCCTAAATTCATAATAAAAGAGAGAGAGAAAAAAGAAACATTCCTAGAACCTCAAAATCCTCCTCAAGCCCCTTCTGTTATAGGCCCTGACTGTGCCCAAATGAACCAGACTACCATCTACTATGACTCCTCAGAATATACTTGAGTTTCAGTTGTTCTGAACTTTGCATAAGTGGAATCAAGGATTATGTTCTCCTTTGCCTGAGTCCTTTCAGTATTGTATTTGTGAAATTCAATTTTGGGGGAGAATCAGATAAAATTTTCTCAAGAGGTAACTGATAACTTTTTCACTTATTAGTGACACCAGAAATAACTTTAGCTTAATCTTGAAATACCTACGTGCCACATAGGTTTGCAAATTAAAGCATCTGCAACATATAAACATGTAAGATAAACACCATTAAGCAGACATTCAGTCACATTAAAAGTAACCATTCTGTGTACTTTTTGCTTTAAAATTCATTAAGAACACATTTTTCTAAAAAACCCATCCAGCTGTTTTCAGCATTTTGCTGTGGTTAGCTCACACTGTTATGGACAGTCTATCTGATGCTCTAGTGGGCCTCTCTCCTTTGGGTTTTAACAAATTGTTTCAAAGTCCACTTCGAAAATGATTAAGACAGAAAAAAATAAATAAATAAAAAGGTGAATGATACAGCGAGAGGCAGAATTGGAGGCCAAGAAAGGCTCTCAAAAGCAAAGTTAAGTTTAAGAAGACAAAGTCCAGATATCCACGCCAGGTTATGGAAAACATTTGACAAAAGAGTATTCTACAGAGACAAGGGTTTAAAAAGAAATGCCTCTGTGGAACCCTTCTCCCAATCCTTCTGGGCTCCAGACACCAAAATGGTGACTAACAAACCCATGAAAAGCCTGGGTGAGACACAGAGATGCCACATGGAACCTCCCAGTGGTGCCTTCCGCTCATTAAGGGTATTTGTCAGAATTAAAAATAAATAAATGGAGTTTTGTTTAACTGAATTCATGAAATTCTGTTCTCACTGATGCAGGGCAGACAGAAAAGGCGACAAAATTTAGATAATGGTACTGTTTTAAAGAAGTAATGTTTACACTTTATGAAAATCACGTTTTAAAATAATAGCATTACATTTATCTTCTGCCAAATCTAATCATCATTGAAATAACTTGTAAACAATGAAAAACGTTTAAGGAATGAAATGGACAGTTTAAATTCATAGAGACTACACGAAATTCAGCCATTTTCAATTATGAAGGATACTATGACCAAAAAAAAAAATCTATCAGCATTTATCTATACTATAGCAGAAAAACAGAAATACAGAAATTGTATAGTGCCGAAGTTAGGTTGTATGATTTGAACAGGAAAAAACAGGAACTTCAAGGAATTGTCTTATGGATTTTTTGTGTGTGTGTGTGTATTTAGGACAGGGTCTACAGGATGTACAGGGTCTCGCTGCATAGATCTGACTTATAGTGATCCTCCTGTTTACAGCCTCCCAAGAACTGGGATTACAGGTACGCACCACCACGCTCAGTCTCAATCGCTGTCTCAGCATGCCCCAGGGGCAAGGCCAGCATGGCAGGCCAGGGAATCAAACTCCCCACCCGTCTCTGCCTCTGCCTAAGCAGGCGCTTTAATCCGCTGAGGTATTTGGCCGGCCCTCTTGTCTTATGGATTTTAAAAGACTACACAAAAGAATTGCAGCGAAATGAACTGTGAAAGTATGACAAAGCAGGAGTAAAAATACAAACAAAAAAGGCCAACAAGATCAATATAAGAAGATACGTAGCATCAAAAATTTTTGCTACTAGAAACAGTTTTATTTCCCACTATTTTATTAGAAAGACACACAACATGGCCAGATACAGGACACACATGGCTTAAACTGGATTAGTTCTTAAGAGTTAGTACAGAACAGTTCAGAGGTCAAGAATACTAATTTGGTATTTGGCAGGAATGGATATTTCTGAGCCAATGCTCTGCTTCCTGTAGGCTGGTAAGATTCTCAACAGGCATTTCTGCTATGGCTGCCTGATTTCCCACTTACAAAACCAGAATAAAGCACTTACTTCCTAAGGTTCTATAAAAGATAATGTATATAAAAACTGAAGTTATTGAACATTTTTGGTGATACTTGGGATTGAACCAAAAGACTGCACTGAATAGATTATCAGCCTCTTTAATAATTTTTTTTTTGAGATTGATTTTAAGTTCAAAAAACTTTCCAGTTTGGGCTTAAAGTTTGATCCTCTTGCCTCAGCCTCCCAGTCCCAGTTTATTTTTATTTTTATATACTTAAATAGGTCAGTATTAACCTAAGTTTATTTTAAAAGACATGAAGGAAATGATGGGCCCAGATCTTGTGATTTTTCCCAGATTTTTCTCCTTTTCAAATTAAGCAGATGTGCAAAAGAATTAGAAGCACCTGGGTACTTACATGATGAAAATTATCACAAATGAATGCTAAACAGCTCTTTTCCTGAGCAAATCACCAGCCCCTGTTGGTCATACACCCTGCAGTGGCAACTCCTGCCTCTGTAAGTACTTACCATGTTACAAGCACAATTGAAAGTTACTGTACAAAATGTATTTAGGTGAATTTAATACCTTGGCTTCACTGCTTACAACTGGTTTTACAGGGAACTGGACTTCTGTGGCTTTTAATATTGTATTTTCTTGAAGAATGTCTTGTTGAGATTGATTGTGACCAAATGGCTTAAAAAATAAATAAATAAAATGTTGAGAAATTTATCTCACAAAATATTTCAAAGATCTAATCAGTGAACCACCCCCTCAAACAATCGTGTTCTAAAGTCTTGTCTTCAGTTATTTGAAAGATGATATACAATCTCACAGAAGCAAGATTAAAACTGATAGCCAGCTATGAAAGCCTATGTCACAAAGTACTGTGAAAAGGGGACAATAATACTACTGCAATATAAGTAATTAAAAGATCTGTAAGTTGGAGCCAGAAATCTGGGTTTAGCACTAACGTGCTGTGACCTTTCAGTCAAGTCCCTTAACCTCCCTCCCCACAGTGATTAGAGATGGAGTAGGATATGTACCAGACAATATCTATGGTAACTTATATTTATTATTTCAATATAGAAAGAGGTATACAAATAATTAAGACTCAGTTTGACAGTATTTCTCTCAGGAGTCAAGGGGGAAACTATGCCCAGGCTGAACTGTGTGTAGAGGTTGATGGTAGTAGGTGTTAGACAAAGCAAAGAGATTACAGGATAGGGAAGAATGTTTTGACTCCTGTGTTCCTAATGGTAGAAAATATTAGCACTGCCAACAGTTGCGGATGGGAAGGGAGAAGCCACGTTTACCAAAGTAAAGTGCCATGACATTAAAGTAATTCTGACTCTGATATGTGGAAAACTTAAAAAGAAATCAAGAGGCCTGGCCTTACTTGGAAGGACCTAAATTAATATTAAGTAGTGAAAAATTAAACAATTTATTTCAATATAGCTGTAACTTACCTTTCTCCCATAAAGACATTGAAAAAAGATGACCCCAACTGACCATACATCAACCTTGTTGGAAATCTTTGGTGGCTCTTTTCCAACTACAAAACATTCAGGAGGTAAATACCTATAAAAAAGAAAAGGATACTACATATTAACAATCTTTAATTACCTTATAATTATTTTTATATTTTAGGGGAGGGTCTACAGGGTGTTCAGGGTCTCACTACTAGATCAGACTTGTGGTGATCTGCCTGTTTACAGCTTCCCAAGAGCTGGGATTACAGGCAGGTGCCATCATGCCCAATCTCAATTCCCATCTCAGCAGGCCCAGAGGGACAGGGCTGCCACAGCAGGCCTGGGATAGAACCCTGAGCCCCTGCTTGCCGGTGCTTTAACCTACTGAGCTATTTGGCCAGCCCAGCAATCTTTTTTTTTTTGGGGGGGGGCGCAGAACTGGGGACTGAACTCAGGCCCTTGTGCTTGCCAGGGAAGCGCTTATTCCACTGAGCCATCTCCCCAGCCCCCCAACAATCTTTAATTTAAAACTTTCTAAAACATTCAATATCTTAGAACACCTAATTTTATCATATATATATATATATATATATTTTTTTTTTTTTTTACAGCTTTCATCATTTAACTCTAGAACAAAACACAACTTTGTGATAAAATGTACTAGTAACATCTCTACAGAGCTACATAAATAATTATCATTAAAAATCATAATATTGACTTCAATATTTAATAGGAAAATCCTTTCATCCCTCTTAAATTGTTTGAACTATAAGCAGTTCTTAAAAAATATGGTGAATGTTTAAAAACCTTTCAGTAAAACCTACTGCCATTAATCTCCTTCAAAATACTTGTCCTCATGCAGAACACACTTATTCCATCATTCTTGCCACTTTCGGAAGCAGTTCTGAAAGTTTTCTTTTATGTCTTTATTTGCATGGTTGTGGATGCCTTAATGTCCCAAATGGATTCAAAACATTTACCTTTCATAGACATGGTCATGTTGATTTGGGGAAAACAACCCCAGAAATCTTACATGGTGCTAAAATCCAGTGAAAAAAGTAAATGAAGACACATAACAGTAACGGCAAACCTTTTAGAACTTTCAATGATATAAACACCCTCTGTGGCACATGTGCTACAAGTTCACCATGCTGTAATGTTTTTATGGTATCTGACAGCACCACTCACCATATTATTGATCACAGGTCATAAAAGATCCATAAAAGAGGACTTCTAGAACTGCTTCACAAGTGGCAAGAAAAATGAGGTTGGTGCATTCAAAGTCTAGAGGAGGTGCATTCTAAGGGGATGAATAGCAAAGTCATATATATATATATTACCCCCCCTCCCCCGTACCAGGGATTGAACTAAGGATCTTGTGCTAAAAATGTATTTTTTTAAAATTTTATTTATTTATATGTGTGTGTGTGGCCAGCTCAGCCCACCAAGGAACGGGGCTGGCTGGCATGTGGTGCTGGGGGATTGAACCGCAGTCCCTGTGCTTTACATAAGCTTGTTCTAAGTAGGTGCTTTAGACCACTGAGCCATCTCACCAGCCCCTAAGAATATTTTTATATTAAATATTCACCATCTATTCTGGTCATGCTGTGTATATCACATCACATGGTTCTCATTTCAATAACCTGCAGAGAACTGAAAAGACAATCCACATATCTCTTGCTCATGCCAAAAGATCCATCCTGGCAACATTGTAAACCTCAAACTCTGCACTCCCTGTGAGTCTCTCCCTTCCTCAACTCTCAGACGGCCGGGCTTCCTCATACTGCTCTCTTCTGTCTGTGTGCTGCTGAGTCTCTGTGTCTTACCTGCTCACTCAGTGTTACCTGGGGAGTGCCTCCTCTGTCAAGGCCAGGCCTCCCCAAGCCTGTGCTGTTTTCTTCCTTTCCCTGCTGCCTCCCTCTGCCAGGGCAGGGCAGAGTGGTGCCTACCTGAAGGCACTGATGGTTACACCAAGACTGTGAGCAGGGCAAGGAACTCTTCTTCACGACCAGTGCTTGAAATATACTAGTATTGAAAAATGCTATCTTTTAATATTTACTAAATGCTATTTATAAATTCTTTTTTTAAACTTGAATTTAGTACAGGGTCTCACTACCCAGCTCAGACTCACAGTGATCCTCCTCTTTTCAGCCTCCTGAGTGCTGGGATTACAGCATGTGCCACCACACCCATTCTATAAATTTGTATTTTTGATAATGTAAGGATAAAAATAAATTGGTCATCTCAATTTATAAGTAGAAAAGATCCATCAGGGATGGGAAAATCTCACTCCCAAAATTTAGATGAACTAAAATCATGAAAAGGACTAATATAGTTAAGTGAGAATCTACTTTTTTAAAAACTCAAGTTTAGGGGCCGGGGAGATGGCTCAGTAGAATAAGCACTTGCCTGGCAAGTGCAAAGGTCTGAGTTCAATCCCCGATTCCGCCAAAAAAAACAAAAAAACAAAAAAAAAAAAACAACCAAAAAAACAACAACAACAAAAAACAAACCTCAAATTTGATACTCACTTTACAAAAATCACTGAGGTTTCATCAAGATGTTAAATAATCTCTTAAAGACAAAGGACTTCTATAAAGCTGAACCTCCAGAGATGAGTCACTAGTGGTAGAAAACCTTTCCTAATCCTGAAATCAAGTCAAATGCTAGAATTGTTTTTATCAATGAAAGGCCTATTATTGGGCATCTATGAATTTATGGAAACAAGCACAGCTCTTGAACCCTATACAAAGTCAGAACAGACAGGAAAGATATTTAGGGGAAAGCACCCATGAGGATTTAGTGAGGAACTACAATAGACACTAGCAAACTAAGAAAAGACAAAAGTGATCTTCTTCTAAGTAATGTTGACATAATTTTAAGTTTCTGGAGATGTCAGGTAACTTACAAAAGCATTATACATGTACTCTAAAAATATGGACAGGCCATCACAATTTCCTAATATACAGTTAAGTAATCAGAATGACTGTAGAAATTAATCATTTTTCGGAAGCACTGTTTCTCTGGGAAACATTCCATGCGTCTATATGAAAATTCCATTGCAATCTTTTTTTGTACAGCCCCTAAAACAAGCAACCCTGTCTCAAGACCACTTGTAAGAGGGAAACTTCTTTGTACTGTCCTGAACTAGTGAGGCCAGGGTGAGATGGAAACATATAATGAGAATGTCCTGCGGAGAAATGATTTTCATATTTAGAACATGAATTTCAAGCTGACTCTCTGTAGTTCAGGGATCTACCGAAGACCCTTGTTTTAAGCAGTATTTTAAGACTTTGTTAAAAACATAATGCTAGACTGGGCGTGGTGGCGCGTTCCTGTAATCCCAGCGCTTGGGAGGCTGAAAACAGGAGGATCACTACGAGTCCAATCTGTGTAGTGAGAACCTATACTAAATATATAAAAACAAAACAAAACAAAACAAAAAACAAAGAAACCTATAAGGCTTGTTATTGTTACTAAAAGAAAAAGTCTGAAGATTATTCAGTGAGACTATTAGGGGCTTATAAATTTGAATGAACCTCCAGAGATGAGTCACTAGTGGTAGAAAACCTTTCCTAATCCTGAAATCAAGTCAAAGGCTAGAATTGTTTTTATCAATGAAAGGCCTATTATTTTCTTCAAATATGAAATTTTAAATATCTAGACACTGTATTGCTAGGAAATTTAACAAGCAGAATTTTCAAATGGCTTCAAAAGTATACCTAATGTGACTAATTCCTCTCTGTGAAAAGTAAAATCTATACAGATCTGTGAGATCTTGTGGAGCAAGTAATTTTGGCCCAATCCTGTTTATACTCATGATTCTGATCAATGAGGTGGAGGGCATTTCTCTTCCCCTTACAATTCATTCCTTTTGCTAAACTTATTCTGAGAAATGTTTTGAAATTTTATGGTATATGTTCTCTACTTTGATGAATTTGACAGAAAGTTTGAAAATTCACAGTGACAGTTTTTGTAAACACCTAGGTACAGTTTTTGAAGAGGTGACGTTAAGATAGCTTTTAAGTCTATCTAGATGTAGATATATGAAGTCCTTAAAAGGGACTTCAGTCAAACCCAAGTCCAAGAATAGAACAAATCATCTGTAATGAGTAAGATATCCATCTCTCTCAAAAACTTAAAACTACAAAACCTCTACAGAGAAGGTTTAATTATTATTATTATTATTATTATTATTATTTTTTTTTTTTTTTTGTGGTACCACAGATCAAACTCAGGACCTTGTGCTCACCAGGCGGGTGCTTAAGCCACTGAACTATCTCTCCAGCCAAGAAGGTTTGATGTTTATAGTTTTTACTTAGAATAGTTAAGACACTAAGTTTACGTGACAAGTCATTCTCTCTCCAGTTTGCTGATATTTGAGTTAAGAACAGAAGAACGAACTAACCAGAGTACGTTCCCTCTTAGCCCAGAGGCTAATACTTTCAGGACAATAATATCAAAGACTGCCTGAAAATAGAATTAAATTTTTATGAAAATACTGGAGCTAATACAGGAATTCTGATATTTTTAGAAATATATTTACCAGTAAGTGCCTGCTCCTTGGGAAGTTAGATCCATCCCATCTACACCATAGCTATCATCATCCATAATTTTGGACAGACCAAAATCAGTAATTTTGATTTCTCCACATGCTGTCCCATCTACCAGAAGGATATTGCCTAAGAATAAAATACAAAATTATTTTTATTATACAAATATGAAACACTAAAATGTTGTTTTAAATTAACTTTTAAAAAGTATATACACATATTAAATATGACAATAAAAGCACTTTTCATTCTATTAGTGTTCCACTGAAGTTTAACAAATAAGATCTATGCACATGTTTACAGACAGCTTAACATGATTTCATAAAACTATGGTGCTTAGAGCTTAAAAAAATTATCCAACATGTTTCATTAATTACCTGGCTTAAGATCATAATGTATAATAGGAGGTTTGATTTCATTGAGATATCTTAGTGCATTTACAATCTGCATTACAATAGACCTAGCTTCTTTCTCTGACATTAATTTGTGTTGCTTCAGATAGAAATCCAAGTCATTGCCTTCACAGTATTCTAACACTGTACAAAACCTACAATAGGAAAAGAGAAAAATAATTAGATGTAACTATTATCTAGTAATCAAAATTACAATGGAGAAATGGAAAACATATCATTACCAAGGACAGAGAAAGCAAAAACAAACATTTATTTTACCAAAAGTTAAATCCTTAGTCACTTACGTATCTGTATCCAAGGAGAAATAGTCATATAGTTTAACTATCCTAGGGTGATCCAGTTCTTTGTGTATTCTATACTCTCTGCAGGCATGTCTATGGGAAGAAAGTATATTAATTTTCCAAGGTGATTAAAAAATTCAGTATATAAAAACCATAAGGTATTAATATTTACTTGTGGTAGTTTTCTTTTTTCTCATCTCTCCAGCTTTTATTAAGCTGATGGATCTTCACAGCAGCATATCTTTGTTCATACAGGTCAAAAGCCTAGGGTTCAAGGCAAAAATCAGGTATGTTCATAGACCAACTGAATAAATGGATTTTTAAAAAAAATCTTGGTGAAGCATTTTATAATACAGAATGAGAGTTAAGTACTACAATCTTTAACAATCCTCTTCATTAAGAGTATACAGTTCAATGAGACTATTATTAGCAGTAAGCTACAAGCTAGATGCACTAGCACATGCCTGTAAGCCATGCTACTTGGGAGGGCAAGGAAGAAAGATCATAAGCTGATAGCCAACTTGGGCAACTTAATGAGACTCTGTCTTGAAATAAAAAAAGGGTTGAGATGTAGTTCAGTATTGGAGCACCCCTAGGTTCACCCCAGTACTGAAAACAACAAATATACAAAATAAATGAGATATAATTTCATGGTAATAAATCAGCAAAAAACCTCAATGTGAACTTCCACAATCAAGGTTTATAAATGCCAATATGTTGACTCAAGATAAAGCTGTAAGGCTATATCTGTTTTTAATATGGATTTGTTTCGCTATTCTGGCAGGAGGAGTAAGCAGCCAGAAAAAAGGATGGCTGCAATGCTTTCTTGAGGGTTGGTTAAAATAAGCCTTGTCTTTTGTTAGCAATCTCAACTTCTTTTTTTTTTTTTTTTTTTTGTTTTGTTTTGTTTTTTTTTAAATTAACAAGTTCCTAGCAGTTTTCCAATTACTGAAAAAAATCTATACTGTTATAAGATTTTCCAAATTATATACAGAAATAATAAGCCCCTATGTATGCACTATACTGTTTTGAAAATACTGTCATTAGTATTTTATCTGTTGCTTTATAATCATGATTTGTTTGGCTTTGCACATTCTGGGCAAATTGTTTACCATTCAGCTACATCCTCAGCTCCTTCACGCGTTTTGTTTGCTTTGTTTCCCTCCTCTCTTGGGGCATTTTTGAGAGGCCGGGGAGGTGGCTCAGTGGAATAAGCACTTCCCTGGCAAGCACAAGGGCCTGAGTTCAATCCCCGGTTCCACCAAAAACAAAAAAAAAAGAATCAAGGAGAAAACTTAACATAGAGGTGTTTATCTTGGGGCATTTTTTTTTTTTTTTTTTCTCTTGGGGCATTTTTAAAGCAAATCCCAGACAATATATCATTTCATTCATAAATTCTCCAGTATTTATCAATAACAGGAAATATCAGATGTAACAACATCAATATTTCTTAATCTCATTTAATACCCAATTTGTCTTCAATTTTCCTTGTTTGCCTCCCCTCAGAATTACACTAGATTTGTTCACTGTTTCTTAAATTAAGACACTGTATGACCAGTACTTTAAAGCTGTACATAATTCATCTTCTTCAAAAACACTGAAGGCTATTTAAAAATATTTAATAATTTAAGTTTCACTGTGATTTATACATAAAAGGTATCCTTTTAAAAACACACTTGAAGAACAGCATTAGAGCTCAGTGATAGAGCACTTGTCTAAATATGCAGGAGGCCAGGTTTGGAACCTAGCCTACCCCCAAGGGAGGGGTGCCAAGGATGACAATTTAACAGTTATATATTTGCTTAATAAAACCCCCCAGGGCCCTACCCAATCAACTTAACCCAAAAATATGTAGCAAAGGAAAAAACAGTAAATTACTGTTTACTGTTTTTTACATAATTGTAAAATTGCAATAAATTGTACAATAAACTGTACAATTTATTACAATTCCATAATTGTAATAAATGATTTTTATTACAAAAGCACGATATCAGACAAGACATAGGAATGCAGCAGTTAAAACTATTCAGATAGCTCAGCAGACTAAAGCGCCTGCTTAGGCAAAGCGCAACGGCTGGGGTTCGATCCCTGGCTTGCCGTGCAGACCCTGCCCCTGGGGCTTGCTGAGCCGGGCAATTGAGACTGGGCATGGTGGTGCGTGCCTGTAATCCCAGAGTTTGGGAGGCTGAAAACAGGAGAATCATTATGAGTTCAATCTACTGAGTGAGACCCTATAGACTCTGTACTAAAACACACAAAAGATTATTCTCTCTGGAGTCAGACAAAATTTTTAGCTCAGTGATTCTGTTATTACTCTCTGAGTCTCAGTCTTATTTATAAAGTTAGAAGTTGTTCAAAGGACAAAATGGGATGTACAAATAAGTCCAAGGATGGTGTTTTGACTCTAAAGATAGACAATGTAAACCACAATAAACCTTTTTTTTTAGTAATTATAATGAGAACATAATTATCAACAAACAAAAGACAAGTAATTCTTTTTTTTTTTTTGGCGGAACCGGGGATTGAACTCAGACCCTTGCGCTTGCTAGGGAAGTGCTTATTCCACTGAGCCATCTCCCCGGCCCCAAGACAAGTAATTCTTATCCACAACTCTTAATATTAATTCTTCACACTAATACTCTTATTGGTGAGAACAGAATAAAATTTACATTACCTTATACACTTCACTAAAGCCACCTCTTCCAAGCAGATGAAGTAATAAATATCTTTCATTTAATGTTGGGTGATCTTTGAACCTTAAAAATAGGGGAGAAAGTCCACTCAGACACATTAAAAGACACATAATAAAGTTCCTTATATACTAAAGTTACATTCTCTCTCAATTTTTTAAAGACAATGTCTTGCTATGAAGTTCAGGCTAGTCTTGAATCTACTGTGTAGCTCATGCTGGCCTTGAACATGATCTTCCTGCCTCAGCCTACAGAGTGCTGGGATTATAGACACGTGCCATCAAGCCCAGTTACAAAGTTTCTCTTATTCAACTCATATCTATTTCTTTTTTAGTTACTCTGCTGTTAATTTCAAATTATACTCAATTCTTTTCATTCTCTATAGATCTGTCTTAAGGATTTTGGTGCTTATAATGCTTAACTTCTATAGTTGAATATTGATCAATTATTGTATTCTCATTAAGACCTAACAATCACTGTCTTGATATAAAATCCCTTATCTACTTATTTGTCAGAAATCAATTCTCTTGAAATATATACTTTTATATTAAGAGTTATGACCAATCACAATACACAGTAATGACATATGATTAAAATAATTATATTCAGGGGCTGGGGAGAAAATAAAATAAAT